CCGGATCATCTGCCCCGATCTCTGTACAGACAAAGGATGACGTGTATGAAGCCTTCATGAAAGAAATGGAAGGTCTCCTGTGACCTGTTGTAGTCCTAGTTAGCTTTCCTGCCCCTCGACACAGATCAGACCCCACGGCGGAGGGAGGAGAAGGAAAGGTCCTCCTGCAAGCAAAGAAAGGGCTCGCATGACAGGGAATAGTTCCCTACCCACAGGTTAACTTGCCAGTATGCTCTGAGTAGAGACTGCTGCGGATGAGGTGTGGCTGGGGACCTCCCTTCAGAGCTAGCATGTCCCCTTGCTGGAAGGAAAGTACCCTCAAGAAGGCGATGCTGCTTTCCTTGAGCCCTCCCGCTTCCTTGGAGGGAGATAATGGTTCTCTGGGGAGGGGGAGTGTGGGAGTGGGAGGTGACTATGCTCTGCCTGGATCCTTGCACATTCTGAATGCCCTGGGAGGATAGTGGAACAGGCTTTATTACGGAGACAGAAAAGCGTTAGCAGCATTTCATACACATATGGTTGTCCAGTTTTTATTTTCTGTACTGTTCTTTTCTGTAAATATTTTATAATCCTGTTTTTTAGTTGCAGTGAGGTTGATCAATCATCTTTCTTCCAGGGTAGTCAGGGAGGTAATTGATTGCATATACTGTACACTGGAATTCTGTACCCTGTCCCCTTTACAGTCACCTTGATGGCTTTTCATCAACAGGGGAAACTTCATTTTGTCTTGTGAAAGACAATAAATGTTCAGTGTATCAAAATACCAGTTTCCTTGTGATCTGTCTAAAAGTAGTGTGTAGATGGGAAGGGGGGAGATTCTTTGCTGGCCTTGGGGGACAGTAGAGGCACTCAACCTCAGAAGAGAAAAGCAATGGTGATGTTATATCTTTTTCTTTAGCTAATGTTCTGCTATATTCTTTAAGTTCCTAAATATCCCTCTTAGCCTTTGTTGGTTGGTAATAAAAACTTGGCCTGAAGTACTGCTAATAATTACAAAGTGATCTCTTTTATATGTTCATTATTGAAAGGTTTACCTCTTATGAAGCTTCAGATACCCACTGGATACATCTGGGACAGACTCCCTTAAGTAAAAAATGCTAACCAATTTTAATTCTGAGAGCTTGACAGATAATTTTAGTTGTGGAAAATCTCTGATTTCAAATTCCATGAAGTTAATGATTTTTAAAGTGCAGATAATCTTAAAAAAAGGACTTTCACATTCCCAGCTTAAAGCATTCTTTTTCTATTCTATTCCTTTAGCTTCATTGACTATGCTGACAGAGCCAAATATTCCAGTAACCCTTATGACATGCAAGAAACAAATCTTTATTCTCATTTGAAACAGACTGCAGAATCTCCTGGGATCTTGTAAATAAATCAGTTTTAAGACCAATAGGATCGGTTGTTGTGGTTCACAAGATTTTCCCAAATGAGCTGCTGCTTCAGAGAGAGAATTGATTTTTTGAAATATTAAAATTTCCTCTGGAATGCTGAGTTGGAGTACAAGACTAATATTACTACTTAGCTCTTTATATAGCTGTCTGCATCCTGTAAAAAAAAAAGAAAAAGTGAGTTAGTGCTGTGAATGTGCTGGACCATAGAAGAAATTGAGAGAAACTCTCCTGTGTCCCTGTTAAAGAGCTTGTAGTGAGTGTTTAGTGGTTTTAAGAGCAATATATCTATCAATGTGTCAATTTCTAGGTGAGTGTATCTGGGCTCTGCTGGGTTTTTAGATTTTTACTAAAAAGTATTTATATTAAGCTGCCAGACCAGTAGATCTATCAAGCAATACCTCTAGTTGGCTATCAGCCTCACACTTAGCTGAATATTCAGTATTTTGAGGTTATTTCTGTTTTAAGGAGACGCAATTATTAGCTACCCAAACTTACACTTGAAAACTTTGTTTCTGTTTTCACAAATTCGGGACACAAACAGATTTTTACAATAGTTCTCTTCTGGGTTCTGGAGTTAACTGCAGTTGTGTCAGTTGTATCTTAAATCTTTCTTTTAGTTATATTCATGGGATATAATCTTTATATTTTAGTTTTTTTTTCAAAAAACATCGTTTTTGTCTTTATTCTTTAAGCGAAATGTGTGAATGGTGACTTTTAGGGGAAAGGGCACCATTGTGGTACCTCTGACCCTTGGGTTAATAATGCTATTGACGCTTCCTCCCAGGAAGCAGCCTGAGAAGAGGAACTGTGTTGCAGGCTGAGGACCTCCCTCCCTGTCATGTTCAAGGTTGAAGAAATCTCCCTGGTATCTTTGTGATTATATTAGTAACCTGCAGGAGTTGCTTGATTCATTCTGCTCCTCCAGTCTGGAATCTTTTTAATATTTTGTTTTGTTTTCTTTTTTGTTTTAATGTTCCTTTGGCCATACTGTCACGTAGGTGAGCCATCTTTTCTTCTCTTGGGCCAGAGTGGGCACTTGCCTGTTGCTGAACCTATTCCTTTTCAGACTGATGCAAAAGGATTTGAACTTGCTAGATGTTGAAATGGGCACAAAAAGGTAAACTTCATGCAAAAAGAATGTGCATAATAGTGGAAGGATAACTTCCTCACCCTGCCCAGGGTGAAGGGGGGCTGTAAAGGAGGTGGGTAGTTTCCTACAACTGTGATGGACCTCTAAAATGGTTTGGGGAAAGGGAGAAGGGGGAGAAAGTGCTCTTGGGATGGGCACTGAGGCCACATGGAAAAGCTGGATTTGACAATGAAATCATCTGGGAACAGCAAGGTTGTGTGCTTTGTGGTTTTTTTTTTTTTTTTCTGGGATGAGTTGGAGGCCAGGATGCCTACTGTCTCCTCTGGCTTTTGTACAAGAGGCTTCTTGCATTCCATTGTGGTTTTCCTTCTGGATAAATATGAAGTTGGGAGCTGTGTAACTGGCTGGGTCTGTGTGTGTAGAAACTGGCCGCATGTGGGCCTGATACTTCCATCTGATTCACCAGAACTGTGGTTTGTCTTCAGCTCGTTTAATATGAGGGATTATTTTTTCTTTCTTTGCCTTTAATAAAGTTCTAAGTGGAAAGAGCACAAAGTAGTGAACTCTTCCTGTCACTTTTTATGAAAGCAGTGGGATATGTGGATGCCCAGACTTCAGTCCATGCGCTCAGGTAAACATCTGGTTCTTGACCAGCCACGCAAGTCATGGACCATGGATGAAACATCAAACCCAGCTTTGAAGACTGCTGACAGGCTTTTCTCCTCCAGCATCAGAAACAACTATAAAGCAATTTCCTTGCTGAACTGATAATAATTAGCGTAAGCCAGATGAAATTTTCCCTTTATCCATGTGTTATCTTTGGTCTCTGGTAATGACTCTTAGTGGAATCCCTAAAAATGAACAGGTTGATGAGATTTACTTTGGCTGAACATCCATTGAATTACATGAGGTTTTGTGCTTACAGTCCTGTCAGAAAATAGAGAAATGCTCCCTAGTGTCTGTACTGCATCTCGATACCTGACACTGGTCAAAAAAAATAAAAAAGAGGAATACTGTTCAATTTGATGTATCAAATTGATATTGTTTGTTTATTGAGGGAGAGTTTAATCAATGTTTAGTATTTAAATAGAAATTCTGTTAGAAGGGAGAAAATACAGTAGAAAATTTGTGGCATATTCAAGAACTGTCTGTGTTTCAACAGACTTGTGGAACTCAGATGAAATGTGTTCTTTTGGGGTTGTTGGTTGGTTGTGTGGAGGTTTGGGGGTTTTTTTGTTGTTTATTTTGTTTGGAAGTTTTTTGCTAGGCTATAATGGATGCTCAGGTGGGAGTTATGTCTTTGTCTTACTCTGAAATATGACGATGCCAGCGTCCAGGGTAAGCAGCGCAGTCAGCACACGCACTACTCCCTTCACTGCAGTTCGATGAGATCTGTGTTATGGGATCTGGCTTGCATTGCAAAGAACCACAAGTTAGAGTACAAACCCAGCAAGAAGTGAGGATAGAAATAACAAAATGACACTGAACTGGAATTCATGGAAACAAGAGGAAAATCCCAGGCTCTAGGGAAAATGGAGGAAGAGGAAATAAAGCAGTACTGGGGCGGCAGGAGGATGTGGCTGTCCAGAGTGGAGGCTCCTTCTTTGGTTTAGACAAGGATGGTGTCTGCCCTTTGTAGAAATGCATGAAGAACAAGATGTCAAGAAATAAAGAGAAACTAAGGCTAATTAGAGCAAAGGAGCAAAAAAGAAAAGGAATCTCTTTGTCTGTACTGGACAAACATCCTGAATCTTGATTCTGCTTACTGGTGTAGTGAGATAGTGTCTAGTGGGAATAAAACCATCGCAGCCTGACTCCCAGTGCTCTGCAGAACAGCCTTACTAATAATACCACGTTAGTTGGATTAGAGCGATACTTGAGTGATTTGTTTTGCAGAATCAGAGATATTTCCTCTGTTATGTATTCCTGTCTGGTTTAGACATGTATCACTAGTGCTGAGTTGCAACTGTTCCTACTGAAAGGAACGTTTCTATTTTGTAATAATAATGATTTTTTTAAAAAGTAAGCTTGTAGCAGCATTTCAGAGGTTCTACACCTAAGACGATTTCTGAAGCGACAGGCAGGGCGCTACGAGAGGCTCCCCCTGTTACTGGGAGGCTGCTGCGCGCCTCAGGCAGGCGGCGGGGACACGTTTGCCTGTAGGATGGATTTCTGGAGCACGTCCCGGGGGGAGAGGGGAGAGGCAGCGGGAGCCGCTTGTCCGAAACGAGCCACGACCGGAGCCAAGGGGGGGCCGTTCCCGGCCCGGCCCGGCCCGGCCGCGTCCTCCCCATTCCCTGCTGGTGGGCGGGGCCGCGCGCAGGGCGGGGCCATCTTCCCGCTCCTCCATTGGGTGGATTTGGATCCGCAGCGCCATTGGCCGGCGCGAGGGCGAGCGTGCCGCAGCCAATGGGAAAGCGTGCCGGGGCTGGCGGGGAGGCTATAAAAAGGGGGACCGGGGGGGGCGGTGCGTCACGGCGTGTGTGTCACGTCGGTTTAGGGCGGCGGCGGCGGAAGAGCGTTGCGGGGCGATGTCCGGTCGCGGGAAGCAGGGCGGGAAGGCGCGGGCCAAGGCCAAGTCGCGCTCGTCGCGGGCCGGGCTGCAGTTCCCCGTGGGCCGCGTGCACCGGCTGCTGCGCAAGGGCAACTACGCGGAGCGGGTGGGCGCCGGCGCCCCGGTGTACCTGGCGGCCGTGCTGGAGTACCTGACGGCCGAGATCCTGGAGCTGGCGGGCAACGCGGCCCGCGACAACAAGAAGACGCGCATCATCCCCCGCCACCTGCAGCTGGCCATCCGCAACGACGAGGAGCTCAACAAGCTGCTGGGCAAGGTGACGATCGCGCAGGGCGGGGTGCTGCCCAACATCCAGGCCGTGCTGCTGCCCAAGAAGACCGACAGCCACAAGGCCAAGAGCAAGTGAAACCAGCCCCAGGAGCGCTCCCACCTCAAAAGTAACCCAAAAGGCTCTTTTCAGAGCCACCCACTTCCTCGTAAAAGGAGCTGTAGATCCTAAAAAAATCCTCAAAAACAGTGAAAAAAGCGCCTCTTATGTTTTCGTTGAAAGTGAACGTTTATATGCTGAATATAAAAAAGCTAGCAAAACTTGAGATTTTTTTAAAAACTAGGTTTACACATTGCAAAATAACGTGTTAGTTGTGAGTAGACGCATACTGGAAAATAGGTTTATTCGGTATAAAAGAGAGGGCTTTGCTCTGGGCGGGGTGAGGACGCTCAGCCGGAGGTTACG